AACTAGAAGGAATGGAAAGAATTCCAGAATGAGAACTGGCTCAGCTCCTCTTCAAACGCCTACAGTTGGGTGGGCGAGTTCCAAGAGTAGGAGCCCAACAGACAGCCCACTTAGGCAGTAACTCCTGGTTGCAGTAGTTTACGGCTCTGCCCTGGAAGCCGCTCTGGTGTTGGCGAAGCCCAGTGAGCCTGGATCCGGACAGGTTTGGGGGAACGTGGTGGAGAGTGGTTCTGTCAATACAAGATGCCTAGGAGGTCAGCAGACTTTCAAGGCTGATACAGGAGATAACTCAGAAATACTGGGCTCCATCTAGATGCCCACACTTGGTCTTTAAGAGACCCAAGTCCCTGGGTCTGCTGAATCTTATGTGAACGAAGCCCTAACCAGGCTGGTTTCCTGTGCATGTGGGAAGGGAACAAAGCACTGTTCCTTTGGCGTTTGCTGGGGCCACTCTGCTTTTGCTAGCTTCATTCTGGCACTGCTGTATTGTCCTGAGTATGGATCACAGTCCATCATAACAGTGCTTCTTGACCCTGGACATTTATTAGAACCAACTGAAGACATTTTATAAAACTACCAAGACCTGGGTACCAGAACAGTTAAATCATACACTCTGGAGGTGGGCCCAGGGCCCACCTGGTATTTTCTAAAACCTCCCTGGCCTTGGTGATATTAATGTACTGGCATTGATCTAAGGCATCCAGTAGTGGGGAGGGGGAATACCAGAACGGTGAAAGCAAAGATACTTTCTTTGCTGGTCCACTGAGCAAGAGAAATTTTAAAGGACAACGTTGGCAACTGAAAGGTCTTTCAGGATTTTGCTTTAAGGATTTTTCAGCCTTTGGGAAACCAGACGGCAATACCAAATTCACAACCTTGAAGACCTTTAGATGGTAGTAAGGTGAGAAAAAATTCCATATACCAAACAAATATCTAACGGTTAGCCCTGGAGGGCAACATTCTTTATAAAGCATTTTGATAGCTCTTCTGATTAAAAGGCAGGAAATTTCTCTAGTGAGTGAGATATAGAAGTGGAATATCTCACCAATCCTAACTAAATTAGGCATCAGGTGAAATTCTACGGGATGCTCCGGGGTCCTGCTATGATCAGAAAAGTACCAGGACTGCCCCCAGGTCATGAGGGAGGAGGCATTTTCTACCCCTGGGCTTCTCTGTGTCAACTTTAAATTCAAAGGGCTAGACCAGACAACCTTTAAACCCTGTGAATCTATACAGGGTTCCTGGAGCATCTGAGAACTGCACTGGTGCGTGAAAAGTGGAACTATCCTGCCCACTTTTCCAGGTTCTTTACACCCATTGTATTTGAGCCTTGTTCAAAGTGAGCCTTAGCCTACTTAGTTTCATTTTATACTCAGATATTAGAGAAAAATGAGTTAGGTCAGAGCCTGAATCTGGGTTAGCTATAAATGTGACACAGAATTGTCAGCTACTGTGAAATGGTGCTGCAGCTCAAGCCTCCCCACACATCAGTGCAACAAAGTGCAAGCTTAAGTGTGCAGACACTCTCAGCAGAGAGGCTCAGGACACTGGGAGAGGCCACCATGCGCCCGCGGAAGTTCAATTTGGGAGACCAACTTGGAGGGATTTGGGATATCTTCTCAGGTCTATGTCACGGTTTGAGAAGACCTTGGATTAGTAATTCTCCATCTGCAACGTAGGGTATAAACCATGTGCGCCACGATCTGATTCCTGAAAGGGGGCTGAGCTAATATGAAAAGCTTCTTTATGGTTTTCTGGTCGGGCACCACAGAATCACCAAGGAACTGTTTCCTCACTTGCCCTTGTAATGCTTTTTGTACAGAATAGCTGCCTAGGGCAGTGTAAAATGAATGAAAAGGTATTCAGAGAAGCTTGGGGGAAAAAAGGACCAAGTGCTATCCACCACGTCTCTTACTCTATTGGCTGCCTAAGGCTAGATTAGGCAGCATCAGATACACCTGGGAAGTTTTTAAAAAAGACTCCTGGGCCCCACCCAGGGGGTGAAAGGTTCAGTAAGTAGGTCTGGAGAGGGAAATGGCCACCGGTGCTTTGTTTGATTTTAGTTTTTCTAGGTTATTCTAATGTATAGCCAGACGTGGGAACCACAATTTAAGCCACTCCCACAAAGGATGCAGGTCTTTGCTTTCTTACCGAGGTCTGGCTTGCCAGTGTAGAGCTTTTCATAGAGAAAGGTGTGGTCTCGGAAGCTCTGTAGCGTGTTCCCCATGGCGATGATGGACACCATAACCAGCCAGCTTCGTAACACATTCAGGAACCGGCTCATGGCTCCCCTCAAATCTGAGAGGGTTTTTTGCTTTGGAAACAAAGGCAAAGGGCACGAGACAACAGATGGCTAGTGTACTTCAACCATAAGCTCGCTCTCCTCTGTAGTTAACCTGTGTCCCACCCATGAGGGCTGTACTAAGCTTACTTGATCAATCATTTCATAAACTCCTCTCCAAATACCTGAGGCTCATCCACTCCCAGTTACCCTTCACAGGGTTGGCACACTGCCTTTGAATATCTACCTTAAATCAAAGTGTGCTGACCTTTACCCAGAGTGAAAAACGCTAAATAATGCAGCGGGTAAAAATGACAAAACCAGTGGAAAAAATGGAGAGAAGAAAGGGAACAGGAGAAAGGGAGGTGTACAAATATCACTATAAAGAAGTAAAATGGACTTCGGTGTAAGACTTACAGAAATTGGTCTCAATATTTAGTCATACTAATAGTGGTGAGTCAACAGTATACTTTGCAATAAGTAGCACAGTGCTTATTTTTGTCTAAGGAATTTCTCCAAAAATATTAGCCTAAATCAGAACTCTCTTCTCTTGGCTGGAATCAGTCCCCTGGGATCTTTACTTCTAGCCTGGCGTTTCATGTCATTCCTTTGTAATGCAAGTGGCTCAAAGGTGACTATAAATCTACTAACAGATACCTGCCTGGCTACTGGTGACAGATCCTTCCAAGCACAGAAAAGCCTTGTACATTTGAGTGGAATCTATGGTGTGAGGGCAATATTTACATCCTTAAGTTTTCTCTACTGTGGTTCTCAGGTACACCATCCTCCATGAACTAGGAGAACAATCTAAAAATAAATAAATTGTGGTGACTTGAGAACTAGTAAGAAAATTATATGGAGAAGGAAACAGCAATGTTGGTGTTGGGTTAGCTAGTACAATAGCTAACAGTTATTGAGCACCTGTATATGCCACGCACTGTGCCAAGAACCTATCATATATTATCTCATTTAATCCTTAAGGTGGATAGACACTTAATATTTCCATTTTACAGATAAGGGTTGGCACAGAGAGGTTAAGTGACTTGCTTGAGGTTACACAGTAATAGATGGCAGAGCTGAGATACGAAGCATGGTCTGTTGGTCTATATGTTGCAAGACTGTCTCACTGTTTGAGAATATTTTGATGAAGTTTCCATTTTTGAGGAAGACAAGCATACCACAGCCACTTCTGTCTTCAACTTGTATAGAAAATACCATCAGGTCATGTACTTTTTGTTTAAAAAACAAAACCTTAGATCAACCCTTGCTGAGCACTCAGCTTGGTTTAAGTAAAAACCATGTAGATAAAAAAAATCTTATCATGGAATTGCTTCTTGGCCATCTTCGTTATGTTTTCTTGGCCCATGGTTTATCTGTTGTCAGGTTAATTTCTTGGGCCTGAAGTGGCGATAAATTATCAGGCTTCCTTTGTCACTTCGGCAGTAGATGTTTCGTTATGTTCCTACACTACCCAGCTGAAACAGATATTAAAGTCAGCAATGGCTCAAGACAGTGTGAAGCACCAAAAAACAAAGAGTCCTAGAGAAGGAAGGGTCAATGGGTGAATCGCTCAGTGAAAATGGGTCACAAAAGTGGACTCTGTCCAAGTCCAGAGAGAATGGGGTTCTACTGGAATCACAAGCAGTTACAGCATGGGCCAAGATGTGCACACTCCCCTCCCCTGCCATCCTCCTTGTTTTCTCACCCTCCTTCAGCAGGAGACTCAGGCTCTCTCAGGGTCAGAAAAGCCGCATGGATGGCCTCCCTCTTTGACAGAACTTATGCCTGTTTCACAGAAGCTCTCAGAAACCCCAGCAGATAGCTGATGAACAGAGCCTGAGCACTCTTCCGAACTGCTCTGCCAATCCCTCAGCACAATTTCCCTAAAGCTTCGGAGGGCCCCCTAGAGCATCCAACACCCATTCTCAAATTTTGCCCTGGCCCAGGCCAGCAAAGGTGTGGTGTTTAGTAGAGTTGGCAGTGAGAGGTTCCTTTCTTGGCCCTACCATTTAGTAGCTGTGTGACCGTGGGCAAGTAACTTACACTTTACAGCCTAGGTTTCCTTACCTGCAAAATGGAGATTAAAAATACCTATCTCAAGGGTTATTATAAGAATTACATGAGAAAGTAAAGGTTCCTCGCACCGTGCTAGGCTCAGAGTGGCCGCTCATTCGTTCATCCATTCACTAGTTCCGAACCTATCAAGCCTTCTTCATCTTCCCAGCTCCCTCTTCTCTTGGTCTCTGGAACCTCTTTTCCCCCACAAGGTGGCCTCCCTGCTATCTTCCTTCTATCCCACATCCATTTTTCCAGACTGTCCGGATCCTCTCAATCAGATGCCACACAGACACCTACCTCTTCTCCCCCACATTCACCTTACCTAGCGATTGGACTCCCAAGAACAGCAGCAGCAGCAAGAGCAAGAAGCTTCCCCAGCACAGTTCCAGCCCTGAATCCACCTGAACCACTTGTCCCCGCCCCCACTCTCAGCCCGTCTCCAGGATTGGGTCGTTTCCATCAGTCCTCGCTCTGATTGGCTGTTCTGGTTCTGCTCGAGCAGGAGATGGGGCGTGAACCCCTTCACTGCCAATCAGCGGTTGCCGCTGCCCAAGCCACACCCCCGGTACGCCGCTCTTGCAGTGACCCCTCGTGTTGAGCGTGGCGGAAGAACTCCAGGTTCGGAGCCAATCTTTTTGCGGCGGAGGTAAAAAGAGCGGAAAAAAGAAGTCAAGACTTCTGCGGAAAGCAGGGCCCTGCGCCTGCGCTGCGCGGCGGTGACGACAATTGTCCGCGCCCGAAGCCGAGCGTTTTCCGCGCCGGGTGGCGGGCGCCTGCGCAGTGGCTCCGAGCGGGCGGTTGCTTGTTGGTTGTTGTAGTAACGGGGGAAGCAGCGGTCGGCGGCCGCCTTGAGCCGGGCTGGGGAAGGAGGAGGGAGGTAGGCGCAGAGCGCTGTCCCCGCCTGCCTGCCCCGAGCCATGGGCAGATGAACCAGGTAAACGCCTGCGCCAGCGCACTCCTCTACCCGAGGGAGGTGCGCTCCCAAGTCTGGACGGGCGCCATCCGCTGCACTTCTCTCTCAGAGTCCGGGAGCAGCTGCTGGCTTCCGGGCGCGCTGGGCTGAATCTCTGCGGCGGAGTCTCCCGCGTCCTTACTGTAGGGAGCATCTGAGGACCTACCTGGATTGGAGTGAGCCGGGGGTGGGACTGAGGGCCCGATCCCTTTAGGGCGAGGACGCTCCTTGGGCGAGTGCCCTTAATCTTCTTCCGATCGCCCTGTCTCTCCCTGCTCTGCTGGCAGCCTAGGACAGGTTGGCATCCCTTCCTCGCTTGGAGGTTTTGTTTGTTTTGTATTAATTTAAGGGACTTGCAACATTTTGGGAAATACTGAGAGGTCCCGTTGGGGATACTCGGAAGAACGCCTTTGAGATTGTTAGAGATTGCCCATTTCGCTGAATATGTGTAAGGATCGTTATCGGAATTGGCATTTTTTGCCCTGTTTACGTTCTTATCACATATATTAATGCATGGAAAATTAGGTTTGGAAAGATTGACATTAAATGGTTATCTTTGAGTAATGGGATTATGGTCATTAAAACATTTTCATTTTCTTTACCTGTAATTTCTATTCCATCCAAAAAGACACGCAATGAACATGTACCTTTTCTCTATTAAAAATATTTTAAGTTAGAAATATGCTAATTTTAATGTCTATTTGATATTTGGATCATAGTTTGTGATTTTTAGTAAGGGCGAATAATTTTTGAGAGTGTGGAAGGACAGTTGTTTTTTTTTCCCAGCTATTTATGACCTTGATTCAGCAGAATATATTCATTTTTTCGTTTAGTGGTTGAATTTGTTTTAGCGGAAACATGAGAGTATTTTACCTGTGCTTGGCATAGAATCTAAAGAAATGTTTGCAAGGATCTTAATACTTGCGTTTTTATTTTTAACTCACGTCAGGATTTTCTAGCAAGGAATCTATGTTTTAGGCAATCAGCCACCTACCTCAGACTTTCTTAAGTAAGTGTATCCTTTTGCTGCACGTTAGATTTAGTATGTAAAAGAAAAATGAGAAACTGAAACTTCACAGCAGCTCTTCAAATACAGAGGACAGACAGTATGTTTGAAAAAAAAATCTTGATTTTTGTGGCATTTGTGAAGCACTGTGAGAGAAGGTAAGTCTCTAGAGGTTTGACACTATTTAGGTAAATAATTCATTTTCATTACTTGGAAGATCATCGGCAGTAATGAACAAAAAGACAACTGCATTGTGTTTCAGGTCATTTGGCTTTCTTGCAGGAATCTGTGCCACCCAAATTGTATGATCCAGTGAATCTGCAAGGAAAGGTCTCTGAGGCCCCCGTCTGCTGACTGCATGACAAACTCTAAAGGAAATGCCAGTCGTGATGGCCCGGGACCTGGAGGAAACAGCAGCATCCTCAGAGGATGAGGAGGCGGTAAGCCAAGAGTAAGTAATAGCAAGACTGCTTTTGACCCTTTGCGTTCAGGATGGAAAATAGTTCTCTTTTACTCAAATCCTCTTTTACCCAATATCCTTCCTTTGGTGTTGTCTGACTCTGGTTTTAGTTTTCATACATGATCTAATTCAAGATCTTATTATTGGGTGACCATCAGCTATCTGAAATGAGATGAGGCTCTGTTTCTGGGTTCATGAGTGAACATCGGCTCTAGACGTTGCAGGTAGTAGCTCTTAGTCAACTCTTGATAAGAGCTCCTAACATAGGAGATTTTGAAATTTTTAGATATTGAAGAAAAGTAGGTCTCTCAATTCTGTGACATTGGGTATTTTCTCAGAAGCCTTTAGGATGATAGAATGATGATAATAAGAAGTTATTTGAGGGCTTCCCTAGTGGTGTAGTGATTAAGAATCCACCTGCCAAGGCAGGGGACATGGGTTCGAGCCCTGGTCCAGGAAGATCCCACATGCTGCGGAGTGGCTAAGCCCATGCGCCACAACTACTGAGCCTGCGCTCTGGAGCCCGCGAGCCACAACTACTGAGCCCACGTGCTGCAACTACTGAAGCCCACGCGCCTAGAGCCCGTGCTCCACAACAAGAGAAGCCACCGCATAAGAAGCCCACGCACCGCAACAAAGAGTAGCCCCCGCTCGCCGCGGAAGCCTGCACGCAGCAACGAATACCCAACACAGGCAAAAATAAATAAATAAATTAATTAAAAAAAAAAAAAAGAAGTCATTTAAGTAAGTGTGGAGCAGGACATTAGAATTCTGTAGCCTGTGCTGAGTCTGTTGAGACACATGGCTTTCCTGAGTTCTTTTAGATAAGAGTCAAGTTTCTTCATTGCTGGATTCTCATAGTAATATAAATGAATGATAGTGATAAGTGTAGCTGCTATAGGTGATGGTAAGAGCTTTAACTGCTGTATCTCATTTAATCTAAAGATGTTATTATTCCCACTTTATTAAGTTTAGCCCCACAAATATCAAAGAACTTCCTCAGGGATGCACAGAGAGTGATACATTGAGATTCAGACCTAGCTTTCCTGGATTGATAAATTGAGATTCAGACCTAGCTTTCCTGGATTTTGAAGCACTTAGATGTTTTGCCTCCTTTAACATTAATTATTACTTGCACAGAGAATAAAGAGAGAATCTGGCTTAAAGGTAACATTAATTTTTAAGATTCTCTGTATAAGTCCACTAGGATTCATGTGCTATGTAACCTGAAAAGTGGGGATGATATCTCCCAGGCCGTTTTTTTTCTTTCTTTTTACAATTTATTTATTTAATTTATTTATTTTTGGCTGTGTTGGGTCTTCATTGCTGCACGTGGGCTTTCTCTAGTTGCGGCGAGCTGGGGGCTACCCTTCATTGCAATGCGCGGCTTCTTACTGTAGTGGCTTCTCTTGTTGTGGAGCATGGGCTCTAGGCGCACAGGCTTCAGTATTTGTAGCACGCAGGCTCAGTAGTTGTGGCTCGCGGGCTCTAGAGCACAACCTCAGTAGTTGTGGCGCACGGGCTTAGTTGCTCCGCGGCATGTGGGATCTTCCTGGAACAGGGATCGAGCCCATGTCCCCTGCATTGGCAGGCAGATTCTTAACCACTGTGCCACCAGGGAAGCCCCTCGCAGGCTGTTTTTGGGGGTATAGTTAGGATCAAATAGAATAATGTGTATGAAATTACTTTTAAATGATAAAGTGCCATACAAATGTTAAGGCATTATTTTTATTGGATTTTATATTGAATTTAAAGTGTATTTCTTATTATAAAGTAGAAGATTACATTATTTAATGTAATTTGAAAAAAAATTATTGAAGCATTAGTAAAGCTTTGGGGAAAGGCTTCTCATCACTGTTAGATCATAGAAAATAATACAGATTTGATGTTATATTTGGGTCATTCTCATTCAGGATAATTAAATGGATAATTCTCTCTTGTCACTTTGCCTTCTTGTGACTTTTTGTTTTCTGTGTGCTGCCTCTTACCCACTTCACAAAAATTTTAACTTCTGCTTCAAACATCAGTCTTTCTGATTCAAGATCTTTTACTTCATGACTGTCTCTTTTATTAGTGGTCTTATAGGTTGGGCCCAACAAGTATTAGGTTGAACTGTATGAAATTGCTATTTTGGTAGGTCAAAAACAGCCAAATATTGAGAATTGTAGGTGGTTCAACCTAATATTTTAGTAAGCACTCAATAAATGCTTGCTGACTGAGTGACTAACTTATTCAGTAAATAAATGGAGGCTTCATGCTTTAGATCACCTTAGGTCTTTTAAGTGCTTAAGATACATTTCATTACAAAGAATGCCAATTGCATTGAGGTGCAGTTATCAGGATTTTTTAAAAAACCAAACTTGTGGTATAGTAATATGTACGTTTTTATTAATACATTAAATAACAAGATCATTCATTTAAAACATGAGAAAGTTAGATTTTATTTTCTAAAGACAGCAACATGAAGACTGTTTTTGCTTAGTTTGCATAAGACCATCATACTTGGGTGGTCTTTGATTAACAATTGAAAGTGGGGAATACCAAGAAACATAGATGTCTGGATCACCACTGTGAAATGTCACCATTTGGTAGCTGAATGATTGCTTGAGAGTGGAGAGTTGCCAAATTGTTTTCCATCCTCATCACACCAGATGAGAAGACTGTAATCACAGGTGATCTAGTGGCAATTTTAATAACTACCATAACTTACAATCAGTGATAAATGTCAGTGATATTTTGAGATGTCTGCAACAACTGTAATTTGGTATAATAAAATCTGTAATTTCAGATAGAGTCAAAAACACAGGTAATACTATTATTATTGTGTTTGGTGCCTATATTCGTAATTGAGAAACATTAAATTTCTAGTAGAAGTTAGTGAAAATACAGGTGTCATTCCACCTTCCCCCCGCCCTCCCCATCCAAATTCACAGACCTTATGGCTCCTCTTCCTTTTAAACTCCTACTGTTGAGTTTTTTTTTGTTTTTTTTTTGTTTTTTTGCGGTATGCGGGCCTCTCACTGTTGTGGCCTCTCCCGTTGCGGAGCACAGGCTCCGGATGCACAGGCTCAGCGGCCATGGCTCACGGGCCCAGCCGCTCCGCAGCATGTGGGATCTTCCCAGACCGGGGCACGAACCTGTGTCCCCTGCATCAGCAGGCAGACTCTCAACCACTGCGCCACCAGGGAAGCCCTACTGTTGAGTTTTGATTGTTAATGTTCCATCAGCTCATGTCTATCAGATACTTCTTTTATACATTAGGAATCTTAAGTCAATCTTGTTCACACCTGGAACAACGTGCTTACATTTTTAAAGTTTTGGAAGTTACAGGGTCTTAAATCATCTAAGGATGTTGACTTGATCCAAAGATATATATCCATGGATATCTGCTAGATCTGCTCAGAACCCTAGGCTGTATTAAAGTATTGATGCCGTGCAGTCCTGGACATTAGCGCTAGAAACTGTCCAGGCATCCTTGTTTTGCATGGCATTATTTCAAATAGTAAATGTAAAGGGCCTCTTTTTCTGTATTTTGTTTGGGGTTCCCAAATATAAATTTATATAGAGATGTGGAAACGTTAATTTGATGTAAGGTTTCTTTAGTCACTAAAAAAAATATTTAATTCTTATTGTAAAAGCTGGCTTTAGATCAGTTACAAAGATCATCAACAAATGATTATGTAGTGAGTGCTACAGTTCAGTGAAAGAATACATCACTATGGGCCGGAGGAGCTAAGGAAGGCTCCAAGGAGGTGGTGAGGTGAGCTGGGCTTTAGAGAGTGGGATTAAATGAACAGAGAGAAGTGGGGAAGGCATTTCCAGCAGGGACATTGGTATGAATGAGGCACCGAGGCTTTGAGTTATGTAGGCTGGATCCCAGGAGTGAATAATATCTATTCCACATGAAATTGCTTCTTAAAAACCAAAACGTTCTTAGGCTTTCAGTAAAGTAAACCATAAAACTGGTCTACTTTGGTTATTAGTCATCCAAGTTTTTTGTTCTTTTATGTCTGTAAAAGCATAATTTCTTAAAATGTACCAGTTTCTGGTGTAAATGAAAATTTAAAGTCCCAATTTTCAGCTTCCTAATCATTTTGAATCTTTTTCCTTTAGCACCACCTGGTGGGAGCATGCTTTTAATGACAATGCAACGTCTGCCTTAAGTGTGTTTGGGTCGACCTTACTGAACTAATGATTTGTCTACTACCTCTTTTCTCTTTTCAGAGGTTGTAAGTGAAAAGATTCTGTGTCAGGGATTTAGCTTTCTATAGATAGTACGGTTACGGGCTTGGCTCTTCTCAGCTGTGTATGTTTATTGTGTTCCTGACTCTTGTCAGGCATTTTTACCTTTTATCCGTAATCCATTGTTTGTAAGTGCTAAGGCACAGTGGTGCCAGTTTGCAGCTAGAGATGGATTGACAAGGAACTTTCGATAGTTTCCAGAGTTTCTGTCTAAGACTTGACAGTTTAGGCTGCCTAATTTTTCCTCTGTCCTCTGACTTAGAAATGTAGTGAAAAAAATTCAAGTTGGAAGAGAGCATAGGAATCATCTGGCCCTATACCCACATTTTACAGGCGTTTAAGATTAAAAAGCAAGCAAACCACACACATAAAATCCTTCTTGCACCCTATAAACACCAATTTCTCACAAATGGGCACTGTCACCCGAGTCAAATTGCAAGAAAAATAAGCATCCACGTTCCATTTCTAGAAACCAGGAAATGAACTAGGCATGGTGTTCTCTGCTTTCCTCAGTAAAGCTCTTGGCAGCTCATCCCAAGCCTAAAGGCTGCCTCACCTCTAAGACTGGTAGCCTGGCAGCCTGTGCATTCAACGCATGGATCTGTTTAAACCTGTATTGGGAGGGTCTAGCTTGGCCCTGAGGTTTGTGGTATGGCCTTTGTTAAGGAGTGTGGTCATGTGAGTTTTTGAGAGCAGCCTGAATCTTGGCTAAATGGATCTTATTCCATAAAAGGAATTGATTAATTTCAGCTCCCAAAGGGTTGAGTTTAAGGTGTTTATACAAAAAATCACTGAAATGTGTGATGAGGGAGATGGAAGGGTGGAAAGAGCACAGACACTTGGGTTCTAATACCTGTTCCTTTGCTTAACCAGCTGTATGACCTTAAGCAAACTGCTCAACCTCTCTGAACACTTTTTCTTCAGTTCATAGTGCAGGCAAGAGGATTAAGTGAGATAAGATGTGAAAGCTTTTAGTGTAATTCCTGACACATAGTAGGGACTCAGGTCATTTCTTTCCTACCTTCATGCACTAAGGCAGTTGGAGATTTTTCTCATCTGTGAATAAATACACATCTGTCTGAGATTGATTAAACAGAGATTTCTGGAAGATAGGAAGAGAATAAAGTCAGAGGTCCTTTTCTGGAGGAAAACATTGTTCCATTTGGTATAGGCTTCCTTTAAAATATGTGGTTTTAATGGGGGTACTTGTATTAATTTAGGGTTCCTAGCTCAGACTCTTAGGATGGATCATCAAATTGGCTTAAAAAGGGACTATAGGGTGTAAAAGTGGTCTGTCAATTATTGTGACTATGTTAGTTAGGATTCTTATTTGTGCCAGGGACTAAGACATAAATTGTCCTCAATAATAAAGGGAATTTATGAACTCATATTTAGGAAAGACTTGATTCTGCAACTGCACGTTTACCGCTCAGGATCTCATTTCTCTTGTTCTTTCAGTCAGGCTTCCGCAGACTTTCTCCTTTACCAACAGCTCCAGGCTCTCCTTCCAAGGTCACAAAATGACACTTGAACTTCCAGACCTCATTCTCTTTTTTTTTTTTTTTTTTTGTGGTACGCGGGCCTCTCACTGTTGTGGCCTCTCCCATTGTGGAGCACAGGCTCCAGACGCGCAGGCTCAGCAGCCATGGCTCACGGGCCCAGCCGCTCCGCGGCATGTGGGATCTTCCCGGACCGGGGCACGAACCCGTGTCCCCTGCATCGGCAGGCGGACTCTCAATCACTGCGCCACCAGGGAAGCCCGACCTCATTCTCTTACACCATCAAGGGGAGGAGGCCATTTCTCCTGCAACTGCTACAGAAGAGAGAGCATCGCTTTCTTAGAGGGTCACATGACATATCTCCTGACACACTGGCTCCAGCTGGTTTATGTCCTCATCCCTGAACCAGCAACTATAACTGGGGGATGGAAAACCCTGATTGGCTAAAGCCAGTCAAGACCCATCCCTACAGCAGGAACGGAGTTAATCTTAAACAGACCATCTGACTAAGAATGGGAGATGAATGGTTTCCCATAGGACATTTGGGATGCTTGTTCCAGAAGAAGGGGAAAGGTGCTAAGCAGCAAACCACAGTGATCTGCTTCAGTTGTTAATTCAGATTTTGAGCTGTAAATTAATAAAGTCTTTTATTACGGTTGTAGAGATCATCCATGTATCATGTGGACTGGAGGCTGCAGGAGAATTCCAGTTTTGGTATTCCATGCTGAGGCTATTCTGACAAAGGACAACAATGTTCGAGTAATTGGAGGTAGGTATGACCTTCCCCACTGAGGGAAGGGCTGGGCATGGCCCTGATAGCCTCATCTTACAGAAAGTGATAACCATATTTAGTTAGGGAAAGGGCCTTGGTCATGAGAATATTCTGTTGATTTTTTTATACTTGAACGGATTATTTGTGATTTCTTAAATTGTTTTCTGCATATTAAATTATTTTTCCTCTTTTTTTTTTAATTACGTGTACATGTGTTTATTTTTTTGTTTTTTTCTTCCAGTTTTATAGAGAGATCATTGACATACACCACTGTACAAGTTTAAGGTGTACAGCATAGTGATTTAACTTACATATATCATGAAATGATTATCACAATAAGTTTAATGATACTGTTTTTTATAATTATGGTAAAATACACATAACAAAATTTACTGTTTTTACCATTTTAAAGTATACAACTCAGTGGCATTTAGTACATTCACAGTATTGTGCAACCATCACCACTATCTAGTTTCAGAACATTTTCATCTAAAAGTAAACCCTGTACCCATTAAGCAGTCACTCCCCAACCCCCTTATCCCAGCTCCTGGCAACCACTAAGCTTTCTGTCTCTATGGCTTTACCTAATCTGGATATTTCATATAAATGGACTCATACAATACATAGCCTTTTGTGTCTCGCTTCTTACACTTAGCGTAATGTTTTCAAGGTTCATCCATGTTTTAGCATATGTCAATACTTCATTCCTTTTTGCGGCTGAATAACATCCCATTGTATGGGTATACTACATTTTGTTTATCCATTCATCGGTTGATGGATAAGTGTTTCCAGCTTTTGGCTCTTGTAAACAGTGCTGCTATGAACATTCATGCACAAGTTTTTGTTTGAACACCTGTTCTTAGTTCTTTTGGGTATATACCTAGGAATGGAATTGCTAAGTTGTATGGTAATTCTATGTTTAACTTATTAAGGAACTGCCGAAGGATTTTCCACAGTGACTGCACAATGTTATGTTCCCACCAACAATATATGAGAGTTGAAATTTCTCCATATCCTCAGTAACGTTCGTTGTTTTCTGTTTTTTAGAATATAGCTATACTAATGGGTGTGAAGTGGTATCTTATTGTGGTTATGATTTGCATTTCCCTAATGATTAATGACATTGAGCAGCTTTTCATGTTCCTTTTGGCCATTTATATTATCTCCTTTGGAGAAATGTCAAGGTTTTTGCCTATTTTTTAATCGGGTTGCTTATCTTTTTGTTGTTGAGTTGTAAGGGTTCTTTATATATTCTGGATACTAGACCCTTATCAGAAAAATGATTTCCAAATATTTTTTCCTCTGTGGTTTGTCTTTTCATGCTCTTGATAGTGTTCTTTCATGGGGAAAAGTTTTTCATTTTGATGATGTTCCATTTATCTACTTTTTCTCTTGTTGCTTATGCTTTTGGTGTCATATCTAAGAAACCATTGCCTAACCCAAAGTCATGATCCCTATGCTTTCTTCTAAGAGCTTTATAGTTTAAGCTCTTAAATTTAGAGCTAGATGGTCTTTGTTCCATTTTGAGTTAATTTTTTTATATAGTGTGAGATAAGGGTCCACCTCCATTCTTTTACATGTGGATATCCAGTTGCCCCAGCATGATTAGTTGAAGAGACTATTCTTTCCTTACTGAATAATCTTGGCACTATTGTTGAAAATCAGTAGACCATTAGATGTATGGGTTTATTTTTGGACTCTTAATAATTCTGTTTGTTTATCCTTATACCAGTGCCATATTATTTTTATTACAGTATCTTTGTACTAAGTTTTGAAATTGGGAAGTGTGAGTCCTCTAACTTTGTTCTTCATTTTCAAAATTTTTTTGCTATTCAGGGTCCTTTGCAATTCCGTATGAATTTTGGGATCAGCTTTTTCATTTCTGCAAAAATGGCTGTTGTGATTTTGGTAGGGAGTACATAGAATCTGTAAATTGCTTTTGGAAGTATTGCCGTCTTAGTGTTAAGTCTTCCAGTCCGTGAACATGGGATGTCTTTCCATTTATTTAGGTCTTCTTTAATTTCTGTAGCAATGTTTTATAGTTTGCTGTGTGCAAGTCTTGTAGCTCCTTGGTTAACTTTATTCTTCAATATTTTATTCTTTTTGATGCTATTATAAATGGAATTGCTTTCTCAATTTCATTTTTGGATTGTTCATTGTCAGTGTGTAGACATACTATTGATTTTTTAAAAATAAATTTATTATTTTATTTTATTTATCTATTGTTTCTGGCTGCGTTGGGTCTTTGTTGCTGTGTGAGGGCTTTTCTCTGGTTGCGGCGAGTGGGGGCTACTCTTTGTTGTGGTTCGCAGGCTTCTCATTGTGGTGGCTTCTCTTGTGGAGCACGGGCTCTAGGCGCACTGGCTTCAGTAGTTGTGGCACGTGGGCTCAGTAGTTGTGGCTCATGGGCTCTAGAGCACAGGATCAGTAGTTGTGGCTCACGGGCTTAGCTGCTCTGTGGCATGCGGGATCGTCCCAGACCAGGGCTCAAACCCATGTCCCCTGCACTGGCAGGCAGATGCTCAACCACTGTGCCACCAGGGAAGCCTTACTATTGATTTTTTGTATACTGATCCTGTATCCTGAAACCTTGCTGAACTCATTTATTAGCTCTACTAGTGAGAGAGTGTGTGTGTGTGTGTGTGTGTATGTGTGTGTGTGTGTGTGTGTGTTCTTTAGGATTATCTCTATACAAGATCATGTCATCAGTAAATAGAGATTTTACTTCTTCCTCTCTAACCTGAATACCTCCCTACCTCCCTCTCTTTCTTTTTCTTCTGCTTTTTCCTAATTGCTCTGGCTAGAACTTCCAGTACAGTGTTGAATAGAAGTGAAAATGGGCATCTTTGTCTTCTTCCTGATCTTTGGGGGAAAGCTTTCTGTCTTTCACCATTCGGTATGATGTTAGCTATGGGTTTTCATAAATGCCCTTTATCATGTTGAGGAAGTTCTCTTCTATTCCTTTGTTGAGTGTTTTTATCATACAGCGGTGTTGCATTTTGTCAAATGCTTTTTCTACATCAATCGAGATGATTCTATGTTTTTTTTCCTTCATTTTATTAATGTGGTATATTACATTGATTGACTTTTGTATATTGAACCACCCTTGCATTCTTGAGATAAATCTCACTTGAGCATGGTATATAGTCCTTTTAATGTGCTGCTGGATTTGGTTTGCTAGTATTTTGTTTAGGATGTTTGCATCTGTATTCATAAGGGATGTCGTTCTGTAATTTTCTTTTCTTTTGATGTCTTTGTCTGGCGTTGGTATCAGGGTAATGCTGCCCTCATAGAATGAGTTCCTTCCTCCTCTTTGGAAGAGTTTGAGAAGGATTCGTGTTAATTCTTTAAATGTTCGATAGAATTCACCAGTGAAGCATCTAGTCCTTAGCTTTTCTTTATTGGAAGGCTTTTATTACTAGTTCAACCTCTGCTTATCTATTCTATTTTCTGTTTCTTGTTGAGTCTGTTTTGGCAGTTTGTGTGTCTCTCTAGGTTATTTTCCATTGTATTTAGTTTATCTAATTTTGTTGGCATACAGTTGTTCATAGCATTCTCTTATAATCCTTTTTATTTCTGTAATACAGTAGTAATGTCCCCACCTTCATTTCTGATTTTAGTAATTTGAATTTTTTCTCTTTGTTTTTAGTTAGCCTAACTAAAAGTTTGTCAATTTTGAGAATCATTTTAAAGAGCAAACTTTTTATTTTGCTTACTTTCTCTATTGTTTTTCTATTCTTAATTTCATTTATGTCCACTCCTCTTTGACTTTAAGCAGTGCTCTGAATCCTGGTGTTAGCCTGTAGCTGTCTTCAAAGGTTACATACTGTGGATCCAAACTTTTGTGCGATATGGTGGAAAGGGTCTATACATGGGTTCTCAGTCAATATTTCAGATCCCAGCTTTGGCATTTACTAGCTGTGAGTCTTGTGCAATCACTTAAACTCTCTTAATCTATTTCATTATTATAAAATGGAGATAATAGCTACCTTGCAGGCATTGTAAGAATGAGATCACTAATGTTCAGCACACAGTAGGCATTCAAAACTTGTGCTGCTTACTCTATTTGTTGAACAGGATCTGCTCTACCTTGAGATGACTTTAAGGCCTGTCCTTGCCCCATAATAAGCCAGAGTTCAAAGGATGGTGAGCACCTGCTTCTGGGATTTGAATTCTCCTCCTTCCCCAAGGGTCTCGGTGTTCTAATCCCCTCAGCAAGTTGCTAGGTTACCACTTAAAGGGACATGGTTCATTCATGTTCTCTGAAGCTGGAGTCTCTGAAGATTTACTAACATTTGCTGAGAGTCTCCCACTAAATATGATTAGAGTCAGAACATCAAAGGTGCATAAAAACAACAGAAGTAAATAATCCTCCCCCCTCCACATACTTCTTTTGGTTTCTTTGGATTCATAAAAGAATCCATGTATTCTGTGGCAATAGACCCTTCCTTTGTAGAATACCCAACATTTATTGGAAATTAGCATCCATCAATGTAATCATGCCATTATTCAAGCAATCACTATTTTCTAGAACCTCTAAGTCTTTGGATTATTTTCCTGTACATCTTCCTGTGTTTAAGGAAGAAGCCACTAAACTTTTTTCTCAAACTCTGTTTTTTTTTAATTTTCTGTATATTCCCAATTCCTTGAGGTTTAATAATTTTCTTCACCTTCCTTTATGAAAAGAACAATTTGAATGAGTTTTGTTAGTTGCTACCTCAGATTTCTGAATTGTTAAACACTCTTGGTCTATTTTTTTTTTTCTCTCTCTCTCTTAAATAGCTGACATAGATCTGCTCAGATCATAATACTGAGTTAAATCCCCTTGAGAAGTGTATCTGGGGCATTAGTTATCTTCTGTTGATCTTAGAGTGTTAGATTCCAACCTTGTTTTTTCTGTTATCTATTAAATGTTTCATTGAATTCACTGTTAATATTTTGGATACAGTAAGATTTCATATGCTTTATTTGTGAAATATTCCAGGAGTATGTTTTTT